GCATGCGTTTGGATAGCCGCCTAGTTGTTTGACCAATGTAACTTGCCCCACATTAGGTTTGGGAAATGTAAAAAACTATAGGCGGTAAATCAACTTGAAGTAAACGAAGTATCACAACTAGCCTTTCCCTGTTCACTATTCAGTATCAGTTTATTAAGGGATATGTAGGTAGATTGCCTTTAAGTTAGCTTTTTCCGCATTAAATAATTTTTCATGAAATAATGAGAGGCTATGTGGAAAATGTCGGTATCGAAATGGCGACAGAACTGGTGAAGAGCCTGAGGAAAGAGACAACACAAATCAGAGTTTCGCTTAATAAAAACCCCACGTTTTAGTGGGCGGTGATACGTGGTGGAGATCCCATTGCCTACTCGAGTGAAAAGTTTGTACACTTGACTGGTAAAACGGGCCTCAGGGATTCAACCTAACGAATATAACATCTGAAACCAACTAAAGGATTTACTGGTCTGCTACACAAAGGACTCTTTAGACATTCTCCCAGTGCCTTTGATGACAAACCACAGAAATCATTTCTACAGGTTAGTCCTTTTTTAGCACGGTTTCAACCGCTCCAGAATTAAAACAGGTGGGATAACACTGGTTGCGTTAGCACCACCGCAGCAACAACGCCGAAATTACACAGATCAATACCCACTGCAAAACTCCGCAGTGTTCTTCTAGTGGATGCTTTAGGGTTCTATTCATTTCGTCAGCGGCGCCCTGATGGACACCGAAGGTGACCTCAAAGAACCTTCACCCCAGAATTTCAGTTACTTTCTTGTCAAAGTGGACATGAATCAAGACAGAGACTTTGTTGGCGTGTCGTCCTACAGGAGGATCGAGCACAAGAAACCGTAGATACACAACGTTAAAACCTACACTACAGACGACAGTAAGCTACTGGCAACTGGCAATACTTTAGGGTTCGATGAAATGACAAGTAAACATCTACCTATCCCTAAAAGCTACACTGTCTTCTTCGTCTTCGTGAGTCGTGACAAAAGCGCAAGCGAGCAGGGAGCAAGAAAGTTAACAATTTAGGGACAACGTCGACAGATTTTGCTACAAAGGGGTCTGCAATCGCTCTAGAAAATCGGCAAGTTCAGCAGGCGCAGTCTTTATTATAAAGATAGTATTCAGAAGGCTCTACAGTCGGTTAGCTAATACCGCACGACAGCGTCAACAGATTTTTGCTGGAAGAGAGTTGGTCGCAGTTAAACCGGGCCGGTGGCGTCCCTAAGCTGTACAACAGCCGAACGGTGCGGGTTAACCGTTTTCAGAAGCCGGACAAAAATTACTTTATTACACTTTTCTACGAGAAGGGCGGTTTACTTAACTGAGTAACTTTCAAGATTCCTGGTATTTTAATTGCTCTAGGAATTCGGAGTTAATTTTGTTTGCACTACACGGAGCGTATGGTCTTACGAAAGAACACCTGAAGTGATAGTTGAAACTATGGATAGCAGGCTATGCGCTATAGGTCAGCCGGCTGGTTTGATCAGCAATCCAATCTTCACGGTTATGCATTCGATACCTTAGTATCGTATGAAAAATCCGTGCGTAGAAATTCGCAATTGGAACGACTTTTGAAATGAAGAAACCCCAGTGGTGGTTGATGCTCTGCCGTGATAGTGGCAAGGGCAGTATGAAAATCAACATTACATATACTTAGACATCGTGCCCTCTCTGCAAACTGTTGTAGGAAGGTGAAACCACAGCAGAGGATATTTGGAACTATTCCTGCTGCCGGTTTGAACACATACATCGCGCGAGTGTCCAATTGAACTTGCCTTACTTGCTCGGACAGTCGTGTATGCTAGCGTTATCGATAAAAAGGTTCAGCAGACCCTGTAAGAAATTTGACCTGAAGAACAGCCGACTTGAGGTCTATTATGCGACACGAAAGGTGCCACTAGTGCGCTTACGAACAGATCGGAACTTAACGGACCAGGAATATGTAAGAGTAACATGTAAAGAAACACAAGTCAGTCTGCAAAGAGGATAGCCATGAAAGAGAAGCGTTAAATGGAGAAACAATAAAATCACATACCCATGTAAACATAAGGAATGAGACCATGGTAAGCGTGACTATGACGAGCGACTATCGGACTACGAGTAATAACGATGATGGGACAGTTAGGCTTTGCCGTGGAAGTCGCGATGGCAGACCTGGGTGGGGATAAAACAGGACGAGGGAATAAAGAAGCGTGCACCGGGAAGGAAAAAAACGAGAAGACTAGATGTCGAAAGGCAAATCAACTTCTACGCAACAGATTGGGACATAGTTTGTACATTGCGAAATCAGCCAGAAACACGCCAGAATGCTGGAAAGGACGCTTGTGTGAAAACGCTGTCAATGTGCGCTAACCAGGAAGTAGTATCATAGTATGCTACTCAAATACATAAGGTGCATCATGTGAATACTTAACTTCTGCAGACAGAGACTTTGGTAACATAGATAGTTTACAGGGGACGCCCGAGGGGATGTGCGAAACAGCTATTGAAAAAACGACATATTTTTAGTGGAAGGCAGGTTAAAAGCTGTGCGTCCACTTTTTAGGAAACCAGATAGGATTTGCTTCAGAAATAAAAGTTTTAAAGTCAAACCAACGTTTTCAATGGAAGCTTATCATTGGCACATTGTGCATCGAAGTTCGTATCACTCAATTACAATTCAAAGTAGTGTTCAGACAAAAACAGTTGGAGTCAGGTCATTTCTTTGCTAGATATCCTTAATAAGCGTCTTACAATACCGAGTTTCCAATAATAAGAAGATTAAAGCGGAGATGATTACCAATTTCTGTGGCCGGTTGACGGCACAGTCAACAAATTCTCAAATACTGAGTTGGAGAATTGTACTGAAATCCTAGCAGAACCGTCGGCGAACGGATAAGTAGGCCTCACGTAAGTAACCAATAGGGACCCTTAGTTAGTCGCCCAGCTGAAAGACATACTACCGTCAAATCATGGGACAGAGAAGCCGACACGAAGTTAGGAGATCGATTATCCGATTCTACCCAGGACGTGGTCAAACAGTAGAAAACATATGCCAGTCACAGAGGTCGAGACAGGGAGGAGAAGGAAGGAGCCCATTCGTGACCGCTGCAAGAGACGAAGACCAGTACAGCCTGAAGTGGTGAGTGGACCATGTCCACCGCGCTCCGACGTCAAGGTAAAGGCAGCAAAAGATAAGTGTAGGCGGGGTGGCTGGTGATATCAAACGGCTGGCATACGCATAGCAGACACGGTCTCCGTTCCAACTCCACACATTCAAGACTTCAGACAGGTAGACTTTGAGTTAGCGTGCGTGAGGGTATCATAAAGGCAATATAAGAATGAGCCTATTTAGCAGAGCCTTCAATGCTGGGTAGGATTCGAGTATTCCCTCCGATGGCAACGAAAACTAAAGGGTGCTAGGGCATCAGATTAATTGTGGCACGAAATGTGTTAAATCAAAATGATACAATGCACTTTGGTGACGTCCTCGCTTCCTCTTCCCTTTTCCATAAACCAGTGACCCTGCCGAGCATGTCAGGTGATGGCGGTGGATGTGTGACTGTCGTGGCGTTAGTCTTAGTCCAGCCTAGGCACGTAGGGGAAAGGTGGTCGTCGTTGTTGTTTAACCCATTAGCGATGCAGCTCATATGGGACCCTAGCACAGGCTGTGTGCGCACAATGTGGAAGTTGCGGAAAATTTGATCTTTAGCCGAAAAGTGAACGCAGGGCAACCTCATTTTTTTTTTCGATATTTCGATCTTTAAACTGTTTACTTTCCATTGCAAATAATATCTACTCAGACAATTCAGCTGAGAAAAGTGGTGCTGTCATCAGCTAACCAAACATAACCGATCCGGGTGTGTCGGAAATAACCGCGATAATGTAGCAGCAACATGCAAGGAGAAAGCATGCATTATCACAAACGACTGCCTTAGGTGCACCCAGATCCAGAAGGTGAGATTTGTCAATTTGGCTAGGACATACTTACTGCAATCGCCGTTATGATTTCCAACTTCAGAACCGACTTAACATGCACAAATACAGCTGGAAATAGTCGAAGGACTCACTTTCCAGATGTGGTAATCACGAAGATGGCAGTGGCACCACAGCTGGCGGCTGCCTCAACAGCTGAGAGAGCGGTAATAGACGTGACATCTGTTTGGTCGACGCCGCGGAGGGTGCGGGATTGTTTCAGCTCGGCCCTGAATGTCTCGTGACAGACAGCTCGTTCAGCCTCTCGGCACACCTATAAGAAGTAAAGCAATCCTTCTAATGACAACACATAACATTTGTGAAAATAATGAGGCGATGAAAGAAAGGTTAACGTAGAGCACTTTATTATGATCCAGAAATCAGGCAAATACCGGATCAGCCGCTGGCATGATGCGATTGTCGTTTAAACTACCCTCGGCGCCGTTCCAACATGTCAAACATTGTTCCATGGGGGTATTACGACAGTCTCGATGCCACCTCATAAAGTTTACTGTCGGGGCTTTTGATTTTGCAGCACCGAAAACTGCGTAAGGCGCACAAGGCGATTTAGATTTAGTAACTAAGAGGGTCATGAACGCGACGGGGGGTATGGGATCTCTGGCGAAATAGAGTCCTCCTTCAGACCATGTTATTCGCTGGCGGCCACGTTCTTTCCTCCAATATCCTGCACAGGTTCGTCGTGAAATATCAACGAAGGAGGAGTGGATAACTGTGTCAAGGAGTACAGACTCTTCAGCGAAGTACTTATTCGAACTTATTTCAGGTTTCAGGATGTGGTCCTAGGTGTTATTTCTTGACATTTGACTTATATGGGAGCTTCTGTTGCATATAACGATTGATCTTACTCTGATCAAATAAGCTTTGCAAAACCACGTTTTGAAAGGGCTTATTTTTAATCAGCAACCAGCCACACCCCAATACTAAGGCGTCGAAATCTGAAAGTTGGATCCATTTTTTTTTCGATCAACACATTTTACTGCTTGAGCCACGACTTACGGATCGTCAGCCGCAATGATGAATATCAAGCAGATGAGGAGGATTCACTGAGTTGTGCTGATTTCAAAGCGGAATGTGCGTTTTCTGTACTGGCCGTGAGTCCAACCCCCGTCGTCGTGCAAGTGATCACGGTACCTTCGTTGGCGAGGCATGGCTCACAGTCCAATGCTTAACCGAAGAAAGGCTCAAGCCTCGGGTCTTTCCCGCCTAGGTTTGATATGTGACAAGCTAAATAAACAACCCAAAATGATCATTCCGGTCTTCTTTCGAGTAGTTTGTGTTGCTCATTATCATTCAATTGCCTACGAGAGTCCTATACCGGAGCTCTCGGCCAGACAGAATCGCCCATTTCTACCCAACCGTCGAGACAGACCGATGAATGCCACCCTCATGAGACCACTGGTCACCTGCGGACGTATAAAAAGGTGGGGGAACATTCTAAACTGAAGATCCTTTCAAGATGGCTGAAAAGGGCGGGACGACGCGACTATGGTTGACAAAAGGTACAAATAAAAAATACAAGGAAATTATGGAAACCTCAGCTATCATCGAAGTTCCAATGCACGAGGTAATCCTCAGGTTAGGACCATGGGAAGGGTCCTTTACAATTTACATGCTATCGGTAACTACATATAGCTTAATCTGTCTTGTACACTGCAATTCCAACTTAGTTAGGAGCAAGAGTGGAATAAGACCAAATGCTCGCATGTGCACCCGAATACGCCTCCCTTAGTAAATTCCGCAGTTCTATATTTGCTGAGCCCCGATACCATTATGACTAAAGGAATGCTCGTCCGTCGGCAAACAATTTATTCCTAGGACGACACCTATGGCCGAAATCCTCACTACAAGAAATATCTAAAAAACATCGCGCAATAAATGAGCGTCGCAAAGGCAAACAATGAATAAGGAATTTGGTTTCCCCTTAAACTGCACGTTCGATGCAGGATAAAATAATTCCCGGTAAAATTCAGTTGTTTACCCGATCAACGGTGCTCAGAGTTTCCAAGGGGAAGACGCCTCGTGAAGTTTCCACACTGAGTATAATGCCATCCACACCGTCAAGTACTGCATTCGCTACATCCGAAGTCTCAGCGCGGGTTGGACGAGGCTTCGTGCGCATTGATTCTATCAGCTGCCCGATAACAAAAACGGGCTTCGCGGCCACGTTGCAGAGTCCGATGACATGCTTTTGTAGTTTAAATATCTTTTCCGAACTGTATTGAAGACCAAGATCAGTTCTGGATATGATAATTCCGTCTGCGGCAGTGATTAGTTGTGGCAGGCTAAAGGGTAAATTACAAAGATGAATATAGGAAAAAAGTGAGAGATTATATTATGGAACTGGCTAAAACCACACAAATATCATACTTGGAGTGGACTTTAATTGGTCAGGCCTTTAAAAGGAAAAAAGGTAAATATTTAAATATAACTATATTGTATTTTCTTCGAAACAACATTGGCTGGCAACTATAACCCCTCTCCCACCTTCTGGATAAGAGTGGATTCCACGACAGAAAAGACGTTTATCTTTTGAAACAATTTAACGACTGAGTCTTCAATGCTTTCCACACTTTGTTTTACTTTTTTTTACAAAAGCATTCATTTTAACGCCACAACCAAATGCAAACTAAATATAACAGTTCTGTTCAAGTGGCAGTTCGACTATCGACTTCGACAATGTCCACCGCGTGCTTCGACAAGCTGCACACAAAAGCAGTGACTGGCGCCTGAATTAGTACTCCGCATCTACCGCACTCTCTCGTCCCTCGCCCACTTGGGCCCGGTGTAAAGAAGACTGGAAGTGCGGCCGGTGCTTGCCTGCCGCTACATCTATTTGTGTGGGAGTGCCATAAGGAGCCACTACAGCCTGACTCTCAGTCCGCTGGTCAGTCATTCACACAACAAAGCACACTGGACTGACCGTGCAGTTCCAGTTATCCCGTCAGATGACAGCACTCCAAACTACGGATTTTAACGCAGCGTAATTGTTTGAAGATCCTGTTCTAATTCTTTATACGATACGCTTCGCTGTTTATAGTTACGGGAAATTAGTACTCGTTAAAACATACAAAACAAATAGATGCGAATGAAATCCCCTATTTTATAAGGGCCGACTTTATTATGGCGTATACGCTTACGTAAGAGGACCCATACGGCAGTTTAAAAGAGGACAAATTGGTAACTCTTCCCTTAAGTTTTTGTTTGTGAAAAATTGCCTTACAAATTGGGCAAAAACAAACAGTAGGAGTTATCTAAAACCCGCGTTTTCAGAAGACCTCGGCAACAGTAAAGCTGCAAAAAATAGACAATGTCCTTGAGGACGACATATATCTATTTTTTTTCTGTTCTACGTAGTTTCTGTCGGGAAAACAACTATGATTGTGCGTAAATGAGCAAAATCGTAAAAATAAGTGAACATATCGAAGCTCCAGATTAGTGGGCTTAAGTACGTTTTATGCATTACTCAGATATAAAGTCTATAAAAATCGGAGTTCACTCAAGGACGTGCACCTACGAAAGATTTGGACATTATGTGAGTTAACCAACAGGAATCAGCCTCTCATAATCGGACACATAAAGTTTGCATGACACGGTCAAACGGAGACAAATTAACACCTACGATAGGCTTTTAGAAGGTCTTAGCGACCGGTGTGTACAAAATTAACGTGATGGGGTATAAAGTGTAGTAACGAATTGGAATTTCAACGGCATGTTAAAAAGTCGGGACTGAACTACACAGGTATAAATCCGACTATGAGGAGCAAGATATATTTCTTAAAATAAATACAGACACCGTTTCAGACGAAAATGGAAAAAAACTAAACGCGGGGCAGAATAACTGCCACTAAGAGCACAACATAATCTTCCATATTTAAGTTGGAAAATCTATTCTAAACTACTAAAACTGACGTAAAAAATCCTGCAGCGGTCATTACTGTATGTTTTCCGGTCAACACAATTAGGTAATAAAGACCACAGTCCGGCGTATAGAACGTAAGGCTGGCAGACGTAACCACCTACAGACGTTTGTTTGACCAATTGCAATCTGGTGACGTACATTTCTATAAATCTAGAGTTTTGTCACCCGAATTGATACCATTCCCACCAAACACGACAGAATTTTCAGGAGTAAAGTAATAGATCTGAAACAGCTTTGGCATCATCAAGAATCTTGGAACCAAATAAAAACAGCATTTAAGAATACCAGCATCAGATCAAACAGAAATACACAAAACAAAATAAAAAATGGGGATACATTAAAAAATCGCTCACGTTTTAACCGAATGCCGGGTTTCGATTTTAGCGAATAATTTAGTGTGACTGGGTAATATTGATCTCGCCAGAGACAACATCTCCGCATCGTCGACGAAACTAGTAAAAACAAAATCCACCTAGGGTCTTAACATGGAATATAAAAGTTACCCCACACTCCGCTGCAAATTGAAGATCCTCTGCGTACTTGGATGTCAAAGATGGTTGGTATAGTCTCTCACGCGGAAAAAACACCCGCTGATACCCCCGAATGGCACCTAAGTGTGTTTGTGAATAAAAAATGGACTACCTCCTTCTTCAATCAAACAATGGATGCAATCTATCCCAAGTTCTTTCACAATCAGTGTGATAAGACCATCTTCGATGTGTATCCGGTCACCTATATGCACACAATGGATCATCTGAGGGAAGAGAGATGTATCCACGAAGATTTGCTTGGCGGTAGATTTTTCACAATATGCTTTGTCTATAGTCAAGTCTATCCTCTCGCCTTCTTTGAGGAATACTTCTGCATCTGGGCCCTATAAAGAGTTTTTATTCCATAAAAGTGACTTCAAACCCCTTCGAACAATCCTGTTCTGATAGGGGGTGCAGCCATATCCATTGCTACGGCAACACAAGGATTAAAATTCGATTGTTCATCAAGAGCACGGATGCAACTGATAGCGTTTCTACATGTTTCTTGTGGGGTCATAGCCATATTTAAACGCAGTATATTCATGCCGCCATTTTTCATCATTTTGATCGACTCTGGGGAGGACCATAACTCCCCTACAAAGTGACGTGGGGAATAAATTGACCTACCCAATGTGCACACAATACTGCATTTCCTAACCTCGTCAGCTACTTGCTCAATATCTAACTTGCATGCATGTGCGAGACGCGAATGACGTCTGGTGTCCAACCGTTCAGTGTCTTGACTTCCAAGGAAAATTCCACTTTGGTTATTTAGAGATAGAGGTGTCCCACGCGTGTACGTATCCATAATAATGACAAGGACTGAATTTAACAACAATATAATTGATAGTTCAATTCAAATATTCAACGATAGCCGTGTGTTTGAGGATAACCAAGGCCTACACTGGTACAAGGAACGACGCAATCGCAGAAAAAGCACTTTCAAACGAATAATGTTTAGGGTCATTTAGAAATCCATTGATTTAAACAACACCCGGTTGTTTAAGTAAATATCGATCTCAGATATTCAAACAGTTTATTATTTTGATTCAACCTTCATTACAAACGATTAGCAAGTTAGAACTCGAATGAAAAACTTACGCGAACCCATTTGAGGACTAGGTTATATATTAATAAGCAATATGAACAAAAAGCACTGGTGCACCCGTTTCTGCTACTGTTTCCTACTCATGCCCAAATGGCAATGTTCCGGAAGCAAAGATTAAAGTGGTTCCAGTGGAACCAAATGTCCCACTTTAGTTCCACTTTGGTCCCACTGGGCCGTGATTGCGTATATGAGCGGTATTCCGTGCGCCGGTCGGGGTAGTCTACGAGCCGTCATCTGAAATCGATGGTCGAACACCCACACACAAGCTCTCACGTCCACCTGAGAAAATTCGATGGTCGAACACCCACACACAAGCTCCCACGTCCACCTGAGAAAAACCCAACGCGCAAGCACGCATCCCGCATTTGCTACCTCCACCCTCTCCAAATGCGGCGCCTGGATCGATGCCTTTCTCTGGCAACTTTTGCCGGCGTATGCCTAGGGCGAAAAACCCCTGTTCAGGTCACACGCGTTCAAATAGGGTGGGGGGGTCTGGGGGTAGAGGGGCAGGGGGTAGGGGGCGACTACTGTATAGACATTTGGCTTAACCGAGCCTGCTCAGATTGCACTTGATGCACGTAGTCGCCAGAGCAAGGCATCGATCCAGGCGCCGTATTTGTAGAGGGGGGAGGTAGCAAATGCAGGAGGCGTGCGTGCGCGTAGGGATTTTCTCAGGTGGACGTGGGAACTTGTGTGTAGGTGTTCAACAATTGATATCGATGACGGCTTGTAGACTACCCGGCCCAGTGCACGGAATACCCGCCCATATATGCAATCACGGCGCAGTGGGACCAAAGTGGGACCTTTGGTTCCACTGGAACCACTTTAACCTTTGGTTCCGGAACATTGCCATTAGGGTGTCTCTGATGATGAATCCGCGACGCATATCGAAACTTCAAGCGAATAAACGTATTGTCCCAGCGATCGTGTCTTCTTCTTCTCCTCAATATGTAGGAACATTTAGTAACAGCAGAGTAAATTAGTAAGACCAAACGATTAAAAAATGTACCGAAGAATCGAAGGATGTAAACAAGAACGCCGTTAGTTGAAAAGAACTGGTTTACACACGCGTGTATTTAAATGAATTCTACGAACATACCCATATGACCAGTTGTTAAAATTTATCAATTTTGCTGGATACACCGGCAGCACCCTGCCACATTCAGTGAATGTGACTAAGTGAATGGAGACGCGACCGTAGTGTTGCCCCCGTTGAGCAAAATATAATGGCCTATTCCAATTTTTCAAATAGCCACTTTGGCGGGTGGCAGTATTGCAGTTCAATTAGTACCACTCCATGAAGAAAATGATCGTAAGTGGGCCTGCTAGCCGGATACAGTAGTCGCCGACTACTAAGCCCACCTCGGGCCCAGACCAAATTTGGCTTAATAAGCGGGCGCAATAACCGGAGAGTCCTTGTTCTTGATTAGCAAACGCAGGATAGGCAATATACATTACATACA